TTAAACGAGTGCAGCTCTTCATATCAAAGATTCTTCTAAATGATGTTTCTGCAACCGAAAAAAAGTCTCCTTTGATTCGATAAGCCCCGAAATCAAACGTATACTACAGAACTTCGCGTGGAATAGATTTTGTGCCTGTCACGACTTTGAATGCTGTCTTTCCTTTTCTGTAACAAATTGATCAAATCGTGAAGTGAATATGATAATTGGGTCTAACTATTGTTCATTTCACGAAAATTAAATCTAGTCAATTAGTTACTTCAAGAAACATTATTTTTATCTGTGTATTGATAATTATAACTAAGAGTAATCCCCGGAGGTGAAATTCTATGGCTGAAATGTTTGACTGGGAAAGAACATGCACAGTAAAGTGTCAAACTATACTCACGCACAATAAACAATAAGCATTTTGACAATAAATTGTACAAATGCACTTGAAGTGTGAAGTAACGAAGTATAATGTGTAGCATATTGTCTGCCCTCAATGTGTAGCATAATGTGTAGCATATTGTCTGCCCTCAATGTGTAGCATAATGTGTAGCATATTGTCTGCCCTCAATGTGTAGCATATTGTCTGCCCTCAATGTGTAGCATATTGTCTGCCCTCAATGTGTAGCATATTGTCTGCCCTCAATGTGTAGCATATTGTCTGCCCTCAATGTGTAGCATATTGTCTGCCCTCAATGTGTAGCATATTGTCTGCCCTCAATGTGTAGCATAAAGTGTCTGCCCTCAATGTGTAGCATAATGTGTAGCATATTGTCTGCCCTCAATGTGTAGCATAATGTGTAGCATATTGTCTGCCCTCAATGTGTAGCATAATGTCCAACATTTGTTTTACAGAAAAGTTCCTATATCTATGTGTATTTTTATTTTTATTTTTATTATTATCATTCATTACCATATATACTGAATAATAACTTTTGTCAATAAATAACATTAATTAAACATTCTTGGAACTCTTACATTTATGGAATCTTAATTATTTAATGTAAAGATAAATAAAGTTCGTTTTTTTAAGGAACAAAAAGAAATTCCATTTCTGTTTCCGTTGTTGCATTCTTGCATAAAACTATTAAATTTTAAGAAATTAAAAATACAATAAAAATGTTAAGGTTATAAGGTATCTCTACCTCCTTTTTATCATGCCTTCATGGTGTAGTGGTCAACACGCTTGGCGTGCATTCAAGAGGTACGTGGTTCGAGTCCCGGCGAGAGCATTGCTCATTTCTTCGATTTCCTTGTTTCGGAAAAACTTAATATCTCTACAGTGGTGCCCGAATTAAAAGGGTTTTGAATGGTGATTCTTCCCCACCAGGATTTGGCGAGTGGGTCCCCTAATCCCAAGTCGTCCTTTAAAAAGGGAAGTATATAAGGTATTTCTCTAGTCTTATTAGCATACCTTCGTGGTGTAGTGGTCGGAACGCTCGGCGCATATTTGAGAGGTCCGTGGTTCGTGGTCCGTGGTTTCCTTGAATGTGCAGCGTTCTTAATTGCAGAATTACAACGTAAAATAATCTTTATAACATTATTCTTACTAGCCACTAACCATAATATTAATTAATTAATATTAAAATAAAGCTCCAGTTCTTTTAGGTTTTAAATTTTTACTGCTTTTCCTCATGAGTTTGCTGTGCGCTATTTTCAAAATGCAGTTTTATTGCATGTTTAACGATAGCTGCGATAGTACTATGTGTTTTTTTTTTTTTTTTTTTTTAGTCCAAAGGGATTTGAATCCCGAAGGACTATTAGTTTCGTTTTGGCATTTTGCGTCGGACGGATAAATGTCGGTTCACTTTTCAAACTGTTGCCATAAAATGTTAGAGTCCTGCATTATATTTGAAGAAATTAAATAATGAAAATCTGCGTAAATGTATGTATATTTCTCACATTGTCATAAAATAACGGTACATAGAGTCATCGAATTTTGAATAATGTAATCCTCCAACGAATATGAGCATGTGGAAGACCAAATTTGAATTCGAAATTCGAAATTTGTTTTATGATTTTTCGATTTCCTATTTTTTAAAACTTTGACGAATTTTTGATTAACAAACTCAAGGATTTCAAAGCGAGCAATGGCAACGTTGTGCAGAAAAAACATTTTTATCTCCAGCGCGTGAGTCTCTGTATCGGAAATTCTAAAGATATGTTCGTTTTAAAACTATTTTGCGATATTGCTGTTGCACTGGATCTTATGGTTTAAGTGCGAGGAACATGATATTTAATAAAGAAAGGTAACACACAAAATGTTAAAAAAACGCCCCTTTGGACGTAATTTAAAATCTGAAACATTTCAGATTTTTTTTTTTCTTTGTACTAGTTTTTTTTTTTATATGCTTTGGAGTTTTTACAAATTTTGCAATCATATTTTCATTCAGATAATCAGAATTATCTCTGATAGCTAAGTTGGCCATTGTGCCTCCATTTCAGCATGGCTGAGTTTAGTGTCTCGGAACACATGCCGTTGTTGGCTCAACTTTGCTTGTCCACACAAATAGATTCCGATAATTACTTGGAGTTGCGTGGTATTACTACTTTTGATCCATTTCCAAAACGTTCACTTCATCTAAGCTACCAATTATGTAGGCCAGATTACTCTGTCTCGAAGAAAACTATGACTTAGCATGGGAATTCAACGCTGGAGAAGAAACAATTCATTTAACCCAGCCAGTTATATCTCTTTTTCCGTAACAGCTGCTTGAAGCCGTTTTGATAAATTAGCACTTTTTAAAAATGATAGAAGATACCCTGCAAGTAATATATTCTGCTGGATGACATGCTGAACAAAAACGTGTTGGCTGAACATTTGTTCTCCCAAACTTAAAATCTCTGTGTAAAAGCGTCAAGCTCATCGCCAGAATGCATTACGTGGAAAGTTCCTGGTCAGCTCTCTGGCAAATAAAGGTTCCATATGGGACATGGCCGAAAGAAAGAAACTAAGAAGGAGCACATTAGTCTCATTTCAGATATCAGGGGCTAGTTGCTCTGGTTTATAATATGAACACTGAATTTGCGAAAGCAATAGACAAATTGGTTTTTCAGTATCTCTTAGTCGTATTCCTACTATTCCTCTTTTGCTTTAGCCCATAATTTAAGTTTAGATATTACTCAAATGCATGGAAGCTGACTTTTAATGCCGTATTCAAAACTTCAGTGAAGGATCCAGGTATGACTTATCATCTATTATTCTTATTATCTGTCATCTATGTCTTCGTATATTCTTTGGTAGCATACACCCTGAACTCTGTGTCGAAGACTAAGTAGCGAATTCTTGTTATGTCTCTAAGAATAATTACTGCAGAAGAAAGGTTTAAATAGCCTTCTTATAAAATATAAATTAAAACAGATGCACGCACTCTGTGCTCACAAATCACCACCACTTGTGGCTGCGTAACAGAAAATAAAAATGTAAGAATTCAATAGCAATTTAAAATAATCTAATGACTGGTTCCTTAGCTTACCTAACGCTAAATTTACTGCACGCAGCAAAGCTGAGCCGAGAAATATTAGTATAAACTGAAGGGTGTCGAACACCGAACTAAAGAGCTAATCTTAAATTCGCAGCATAAACATCGGAATTAAGTCCGCTACTACTACTTTTGAACTCTTGAAACGCAGCTTAATGCTTCTGAAACATGTTTAAAATTCACATCTACGTCATACAAAATTTACATTCCGGTGGGAAACTGAAATCAGGAGAAACAGGAAAGGGAACTTCAAAATGATTGGTTAGAACTAAATAAACACTTACACTACTGGCAGCTAGCTGCTTGTCTACTTTGGGTGAAATTATTCAAAAAAGTGATTCTTGAAAATTTGAACATTTCATCATCTACAATAGTATAATCTCTGCTTATCAGTTTGCACTCAGATCGAGTCATTTCACTATAAAACAGATATCGCGACAAATAGAACTCATCTGCGGAAACATTAATAATAAAAATACCCCTGCTTCAATTTTCTGGATTTTGAAAGGCATTTGATGATGTTTGGTACACGGACTAAATCAGGAAATTTATTGAAGATGAATTTTCTGCCCAAGTCTATCAATTTTATCTCAAGATATCTTAGATATCGTTTCTTCAGCATCAGAACTGGTACCTGTTACACGGATATCAAGTACATTCAGGTCTGGAGTGCCACATGGCTCTTTACTCGGGCTATTGTTATCGTTTTCATTAATTATATCCCATTTTCTAGCTAAAAAGAAGCGATCTCCATTGATGATGATACTGCGATCTTTGCGAAGTCAGTAAACACAAAAATGGCTTTCTGTTAATTTAAAGTGCACTGAGTAATATCCAAGAATCTTGTAAAAAATGGAAAGTAAAATTAAATGCTGTCAAACGTTTTCTCATGATTTTTTCGAAACAACAGTGTTTGCAGAGAAGTTAAGCCAAATCACATGTTTTGTTAATAAAATATAAATTTTGCTATGCTTGAAAGAAATCTGACTGTTATTCTAGATAAGAATTTCAACTTTAGAGAACATATCAATCATGCTTTGATGAATCAAATTACCTCATGTGAACTCTGTACTTGCAAATGACTCTGGGCTTCGTATTTTTAAAACAGCCAGCATTTGTTCTTAAAATCGACTAGAAGTCATATAATCCATTGTTAATTTCAGTTGTAATACCTACCATTTGTAGCTAATAAATTTTTGTGTTAATTTTAACTTGAGTTTTATCTTGTCTATTTATAGTTATGCAATAACAGAGAATACAAATTGACAGGCATTGAATATAACTTGTTATACCATGGCGTAAGGTTTGAGAATAGGACTATTGCAGATAATTTTGACGCCTTAAATTACAGAATAATTTATGTTATATATTTTCTTATAATTTTATAGATGTTTCTGCCCTACTTTGCTACTTCACATTAACAGTTTTCATGCTGTTGCGATAGTAAACTTGGAGATCTTTCGTGTAGGTCTTAAACGTGAACCCCCCCCCCAAAAAAAAACATTGTTACAGCATAAAAAAGTCAATCAGTTTTCAGCATAATATGAGTTTTATTATTATACGAATACAGGTTTTTTTTTTTTATTTTATTTTTTTATTTAAGGGCTGGAGTTACTGGAAGGCATCAATCACAGAGCTGCTTTTTCGAGATCCTTGCTGTTACCGATACCGTTTAAAGAAGTCATCGGCCGTAGAGTTGTTCCACCATATTGTCTAATCGTTGTTGGTCTTTCTGGAGCAAAAGAGCATCCACGCACTGAGTGAAGAAATTATTTTTGAAGCAGTTGGATCTAAAATGATATGAAAATACTTTAATTGACTAAGTTACTAAAGATCCAGCTCCTCAGTACTTTTCTCAAGTGATATAGTAATCTTTATGCGCATTTATGAAGCAGAAATCATTATCTAGTCTGAAGTAGTATGTTACACTATTAAAAATATACCTTATAAAAGCAATAAAAATATAAAACAGATAAAGTATGAACTATTACTATACAAGAATGTCAATCATAACTTGAAATTCGGCATCTCTATATTTGGGGAAAAAATCAGTTGAATTCAAGAAATTGACTACTTAGATGTGTCTATCAAAGGGATACTTAAGCACGTGAAGAATCTCGTTTTTATTAAGTATATAATACACACTGAAGTCTTTAGAATGGTTCGAACATGGAAAAGAATCCCCATTTTTCAAATATATATATATATTATTTACATGCCAGTACTAAAATAAAGTATTCCATATGTCTATCTCATTTCGAAATAGACAGTGAAATTCAGTGCTTAAAAAATTTTAATCCTAAAAGGTAAATAATGTGAAGATATACGAAATGTATTTTGAAGTACGAGTATTATAAGCAACACATTACACAAAATTTTAATTTATTTTCATTGGAATAACATTGCAATAAACATTGGAATTAAATTGGATTAACATTGGAATAAAATTGGAATTTCTTTGGAATAACATTGCAAAAACTTATTTAAGTATACGTTTCAGCCTAACCTTCTAATATACGCCCGAACATGTTACTAATAATAACTCTGTTATCACATTATGCGACTACGTTATTACAGTCCACTTTATGACAAAAACAGTTGGACCACTCTTTGGCTTTATAAGACCACTTCTTTTGGCTTTATAAGAAAAGAAGCCAGCTAGATATCTTATCCCATATCGCAAATTCCTTAATGTAGATGGATTGAACATAAAAGTTAGATGTTAAATCTAGATATGGGTGATTCGACAGATATTTTTTATTTTTATATAACGTACTACTACTTGCTTCTTTAATCGTAACATTATCTACAGTGGCGAGTGGTAAAAGATGGGTTACCACATTAATTTTTAGGATGTTGCCGGTCTCGTGGCAAAATTTATTTTTAGTTATCAATACCAACTCTTACTGATCCCCCTTCCGATAGTAACCTCGGCACTGTATAGGGGTGGCAGCGCATGCTTCGCTAACTGCGTTTGTCATTAACGGTTCCGGACCCACCGAGAACAGTCTTTCGCGGAGTTTATACATGTTTAGGTATGTCTATATTTGTCGCTGCGTTTATACGTTTATTCGATAGGCTATTGTAAAAATAAGTAGCAGTGACTAGAATTTTCTTTTATACTGAGGTCCATTCGAGCGCAGCAAGAACTTGTAGCGGTACTGTCAAATTCGACTCGGTTTGTTGACATATCTATATCTAAGACACAATAACACGCCGAATAAATACTAATTCAGAAGTCAAACAACAAAAATCAGCGTTATACCTACAAAATTTTCACAGGACTAGTTTCGATGGTTTTACCGAACCATCATCTTCAGCTGCAAAACCGCAAATGAACAAGATAGGAAATAATGATTAGATAAGATAAGAAAGCCTGGACAAGAATAAGCAAGTAGCGCCATCTGTTGGCGAAACCAGAACTAAAACATAATTTCTCTAAAAGCCGAAGGCAAATTGGATTGGAATTAGGATCGTTAACTAGAACAGAAAGATTTTTATGAATGTGAAATGCCTCTAGAAAATCCAGTTCTCCAATGGAAGATGTTTTTTGAATAATTTTGGCAGCAGAAAAATTGAAAGTGTGATTTTCGGACCAACAATGTTGAGCAACAGAAGACTTCTGTGTTTCCTTTTTTCTAACATATGCCTCATGTTCTTTGACGCGAAATTTTAAGGCTCTCTTAGTTTGGCCAATGTAAATTAAACCACACTGGCAAGGAATCCTATAAATACCCCAGGAATTCATATCCGGAATGGGGTCCTTGAGTATAGAAGTTGGAATTTTATTGATGGGAGAATAAACAACCCGAAAGTTAAATTTCTGCAAAATATGTGCAACTTTATAGCTAATTGATGGAAAGAAGGGAATGACAACAGAATTTTTATAATCTCCTAAAATAAGAGTGTGGCTTTTAGTGTGTTCAGATGAGCCACACTCTTATTTTAGGAGATTATAAAAATTCTGTTGTCATTCCCTTCTTTCCATCAATTAGCTATAAAGTTGCACATATTTTGCAGAAATTTAACTTTCGGGTTGTTTATTCTCCCATCAATAAAATTCCAACTTCTATACTCAAGGACCCCATTCCGGATATGAATTCCTGGGGTATTTATAGGATTCCTTGCCAGTGTGGTTTAATTTACATTGGCCAAACTAAGAGAGCCTTAAAATTTCGCGTCAAAGAACATGAGGCATATGTTAGAAAAAAGGAAACACAGAAGTCTTCTGTTGCTCAACATTGTTGGTCCGAAAATCACACTTTCAATTTTTCTGCTGCCAAAATTATTCAAAAAACATCTTCCATTGGAGAACTGGATTTTCTAGAGGCATTTCACATTCATAAAAATCTTTCTGTTCTAGTTAACGATCCTAATTCCAATCCAAATTTGCCTTCGGCTTTTAAAGAAATTATGTTTTTAGTTCTGGTTTCGCCAACAGATGGCGCCACTTGCTTATTCTTGTCCAGGCTTTCTTATCTTATCTAATCATTATTTCCTATCTTGTTCATTTGCGGTTTTGCAGCTGAAGATGATGGTTCGGTAAAACCATCGAAACTAGTCCTGTGAAAATTTTGTAGGTATAACGCTGATTTTTGTTGTTTGACTTCTGAATTAATATCTATATCTTTTGTTTAGAAACCACCGTTAAGTTGGTTCTCCAAATCTCGTACGGACGAACAGAGTCGTTTATCTCGGAAACCAATCCATTGGAGCTCTGCTGTTGATCTAAATACTTTTGACTTTTTAATAGCAATGTCTGCCAACAGATGGCACCAGTGAAAGTCTATGTCCTTTCCTGCTGCTCTTCTTGGGTCAAAACCAGAAGTTTAGATCCTCTGGAGAGTATAATGATCATCTAAGGGATTGTCTAAAACAACAAACAATTTGCAGAGGTGTCTTTTCTGAACTGTCCGCAAAGCACCCAAAAATCCCTTAGCAAAACACTGGTATAACTATAGGAGATTCATTTGATCAACATTTAACATTTGAGATTTTTTAGCATTACCGAAAAAATTCAGTTGATCACATGAACTGTTTTAAGAAGTGCAATTTGTTTTAAACAGAGCTAAATGTCACTGCAATTATGAACTGAATTTTACAAATAGCTGAGATTAGACCCAATAATTTCAGAGAAGTATTGGACATAATGTATGACAGCTCACCTGCAGGATGTGTGGACATCTGATTCCTTGAACAATTGGTAGCATTCTTCGCAAACTCTGTCCAACCTAGCGAACTTGGCCCTATCGTAGACGCCCATGCAGCCGAGATCAGAGAAACTCCTCTTCGTGTGGTCGACTGTTGCAGACAGAGAGGACGCGAAGCAGAGGAAGAAAGCGATGCAAATAATCTTCATTTTCTGAAAACAGAAAATAATTCTTGACACTTGCAGCATGTTCAGGATATTTAGAAATCATAAATCCATGTATATTTTAAGAAGTGTGAATACGTTCTCTGTAGGCTTATTCCATGATTGCAGAATCAGTCCTACACGTTTGAGTTTATTTCCGATGAGTTATACAAAGATATACTAGTTAAAAATTTAGCATAAATTCAAATAAATTACATTAACTCTTACCTGAAAATAATTACAAAATATGGGAATAAAAATTCCGAATCAACTGCCTTTTGTACATTGACTAGCTAATTATTATGCCTTCCTAATTTTAATTTCAAAGCAGTGTTATGTGATGCAAAGTAGTACTGGTTTTTCGGTTTATTTTCTACGACGGAATCATTAATTGAAATTCTGAAATTTAGCTGGTAAATAGACGATTTCTCGCCAATTGTGGCAATCCTGCCTTTCTTGTTATTTTATGGCAACCCTAAAACTGATTTATGGGGAAGCTATCCCAGCGCGCCTGGACTTTTCGTAGCACTATGTTAACTTCCAATAAGGATCGTCCATTTACCAGTTAAATTTCAGAATTTCAATAAATGAATCGAATTTAGCTGGTAAATGGTAAGCTGGGGTAAATTCTTCTATTTGTATCATCACACTGATAATTTTCTAGAGCTTAAAAGCATTTCCCTCTATTAGTGGATATATCCTGACTAAAGCCGTGATATATTTTGCTTACAAAACTTAAAACGCTGACGTTATAACATCTTGAGTAAGACAAGTGTAAGGTATTAGACCCATTGCTTCCCTTTTTCTCGCATTTGTAGAAACAAGTGGATCTATCGATTGTAGGACTTCCAGATTTTTTTTTTCAGCATGGGAAACATAACGTAAAATTATCTATTACCTCGTCGATATTCGAGCTTCGTATTTTCTGACTGCTGATCGGACTTGCATCCAATTACACTGCAAGATTACGTAGCGGGGAAGGAGGAACTTTCTTATTTTTCCCTCTTAAAGTGCGAATGGGAAAAGAGGAATAAGACCTAGTTGGCCAAACTAAAATGGTGACTAATTATCGTCCATTATATCTGAATCAGGCACTACTGTAGAATTATTAGTTTTTTAGGAATGCAGTAACGTGAAAATTCAGCTGTGTTCTGGCTTGGATTCGAACATTCTAAATGATAGTCGAATATGCCGGTAGTTATACCATGAAAGCACCCTGTTGGGAAGGCCAAAATTTCTTATAAACCCATGGATTCTAATCACATACACGTGCTTAATTACTTGGCCTCATAGAGATATTTCCAATAAATTTCATGAAGTAAAATTGATTGTTAACTAAATAGTGTGGATTCATTCAAAAATGAAAAATGTTTTGTACATATAAGTTAAAAAGACACTTTTAAAAATTGAAATAATCTCAAATTTTATTATCTTCCTGTTTCTTAATTTCTTTTTTTTAAAACAAAAATAAGAACGATAAGATAAATAAGATAGATAAATAGATTAAATCGATAAGATAAGATCGTTTAAGTAAGTATCCAGTTTTTCTTTTACCAAAAAAAAAAAAAAAAAAAAAAGATTTTCAAGATTGAAGATTGAATTAACAGTATAATGTTCTGACGCTTGTATATAATCTGGCTGAAGAAATAACTGCTAAGAACACCGAGATATATATTTCTATTTCAATCAAATCGCTTTTACCTCTTTGTGGTGTCTAAAATGACTAAATTTAGAGCATGAATATATAAACTGCATTAGAAATGCTTATGCGGTATTGATAAATGTTTTTAAATAAATGTATTATATAAATCTTTCGTATTAATTTATATTTTATGCTTACATTTTGATTTAGAAAATCGATATTGTTCTAATCGAAATTTAAAGAGAAACAATGTTTATATTATAGAGACATTAGGTATTTTTTAGAAACAGGAGTCAAGAAAAATGAGAACTCCCTTCGCCGGGAATCGAACCACAAACCTCTGGAATACGCGCCCAGCATGCAGACCCCCACACCACGAAGGCATGCTAATAAGGAGGGAGAAATACCTTATAATATAACAAAAGAAATGACATACATTTCTTTACACACAAATAACACCAGCACTTACCATCGAGTTCGGAGCTCTTACTTGCATTCGAAACCGGTTAGTTCTACGTGTAAATCATTTCTGCTTTCGCTGTATATATAGTTCAAATTTTCATACCACGGTGCTTAGTTATTCATGTAATACACGTTTCATATTACTAACGCATGAGATATAATAGAGAACATTTCCTACAACTTCATTAGAGTTCCAAGAGTTTGAGTAGTTTTACTAATTACAGCAACTTCTAAAAATGTTATCATTCTAATTCGATGCATATACAGAGAAGATTAGACGAAGAAAATAAGTGTCATCAATTTATGTCCATAGATATTAACTGCCTCTCCCATTCACCCTCTTAGATATTCACATTTTCTAATTTCCCAAAGCAAAAAAATGTTCTAATTCTCAATGGAGGATTCTATTTGTTGCTGTTTGGATGCAACTGAGTAACGCGAGCGAAAATATTTTTCCGAAGTCCTTGTGAAGGTTATCTAAGGGTTTCTCAATAAGCAGCCTCTAGTAACCTAGTTCTGAAGAAATAAAATAAAAAAGTAAGTAAAGAAAAAAGAAAAGCACCTGAAAGCTTTCATATTTTATATTACGTCCGAATGGGCGTTTTTTTAACGTTTTGTGGGTTAACTTTATTTATTAAATATCATGAGTTTCGCACTTCAATCACACAAAATTCTATTCAACAGCAATATTGCAAAATATTAAAAAGAGCAAATCTTTAGAATTTCCGATAGACAGTCTCACGTGCTGGAGACAAAAGGTTTTCTTTTTCCTCTATAGTGTTGCCACTGCTCGCTTTGAAATCGTTAAGTTCGTTAATGTTAAATTCCTTAAAGTTTTACAAAATATGAAATAGGCAATAAAACAAATTCGAAATTCAAAATGCGGTCTTCTAGGTGCCTGTGTTCGGGTGGAGGATTACGTTGTTCAAATTTTGACGGCTCTAGGTACCGTTGTTTTATTACAATACGAGAAAAATACGTACATTTATGCAGATTCCTCATTAAGACACAATAACACGCCGAATAAATACTAATTCAGAAGTCAAACAACAAAAATCAGCGTTATATTTACAAAATTTTCACAGGACTAGTTTCGATGGTTTTAACGAACCACCATCTTCAGCTGCAAAACCGCAAATGATTGTCTGATTTGTGGTTTTGCAGCTGAAGATGGTAGTTCGGTAAAACCATCGAAGCTAGTCCTGTGAAAATTTTGTGAATATAACGCTGATTTTTGTTGTTTGACTTCTGAATTGATTCCTCATTATTTAATTTCTTGAAATATAATACAAGGGAATAATATTTGGTGGCAATAATTTAAAAAGGGTTGCGCTATTTATGGTGAACTGACATAAAATGCCGTTTCAAGATTCATAGCTCTTATGCGCTAAAAATAAAATTAAATACCAGCCGTATTAAAATGCAATAAATATGAAATATCAGATAATCAGCAATACAGCAGTTTCAGCAGTTTATAGTTGGCTACTTTGTTGCCATGTAGGAAAAACATATAAAAGGCACTTTTGTTTCGGAATTCGTATATTTTAAAGTACTTAAGCGTAAAGCTTTCTGCTATATCAAAAGTTATTACTATTTGCACTTAACGTTTTATATTTTCCTTCTTTACATTTGTTACCAGTAAAAAATATTTTCGAATCATTAAAGATCAAGGATGTCTGAATCACACAAAACTTGGAGAACATGAAAATCATGTGATTTTTTATAAAGAAGATCTCAATTTTCTATGCAATGAATTTTTTAAAAAAATTTTAGGAAGAAATTAGAAGTTTACATCTAACTCATCATTAGAAAACTCTGATTTCTGAGGTACTGCCAAGGAAGACCCAGAAGTATTAGATCTTGCTGAAAATATTTTTGATGTTCAAAAGCTGTAAAACATCAGAGAAATAAAAACAAAAGCGCAAAATAGAAACAGAAGAACAATGATTACTCGTTCTTGATGCGGCAACTGCAAGAAAACCTGTAAAACCAAAGAGGAAAGTGGAGATGAAGAATGAAAGTTTTAAAAGTAACAAATTAGAAGATATAGACAAGCTGTTTATCTGCAAAATCTAATAATCTAAGCTCGAATTAAAAAGGTATTGATTTTAACGTTGCAATGCTATCTGAAAGGGTATCAACGAGGCTTTTGAAAAGAAATATAACAAAAAATTTCAGGATAAAAACTGCTAATATATGAAATTGTTATTATTAGTCCAAAGGGATTTGAGTCCCGAAGGACTATTACTTTCGTTTTGGCATTTTGCGTCGGACTCCTATAAATGTCGGTTCACTTTTCAAACTGTTGCCACAAAATGTTAGAACCCTGCATTATATTTGAAGAAATTAAACAATGAAAATCTGCATAAATGTATGCATATTTCTCACATTGTGATAAAACAACGGTATCTAGAGCCATGCAATTTTGAATGCCGTAATCCTACTGCGAATATGAGCATTTGAAATCCCAAATTTGAAATTTGGAATTTGTTTTATTATCGATTTCATATTTTGTAAAACTTTAACAAGTCGAAATTTTGAGTAACAAACTCAACGATTTAAAAGCAAGGAATGGCAACAATCTACGGGGGAGAAAAAACCTTTTTATCTTCATCGCGTCGAACTGTGTATCGGAAATTCTAAAGATAGGCTTATTTCAATTTAATTATTTTTTTAAACAATATACTGTTTATTATTCTTTTAAAATATCTCAAGAACACAGTTGATTTGTACGAGTGCATTAATTTTAGTTTTATAGCTCCATTTTTGGATTATTCTTCCTATCCTTTTTGGATTATTCTTTCTTATATTTATGGGCAGAATTACTTGGGAATTCAGTTTATTTTCATGAAGTGAAACAACATGGGTAGGTGAAATCTGCAAACTAGAATAATCCTATGAAGGCGATATTGTGAAAAGATTTAATTTAATATTTCAGCTTATCTTTAAGATAAGAGGCTTGAAAAATATTGGTAACACAATACGAAGAAGTAGCGCAGAGATAAGTACGTAATTTTACCCGATGGTAATCTACTTGCAGGAATGATTTATAAAGCTTCTTAATCTGATTTGTGGTTTAATTGAATTGTAAATATTGATTTTCCATTTCTGTTTTGCTTGTATGGTAACATCGAATATCTTTAAACCGAATTAAACAAGTGGCCAAATAAAAGTTAAAATCAAGAAATAAAGTTGAAATATAGAACTGCTAAATAACAAAGACATGTATCCAAATAGAGGATCTAAAGTGGCCTTGATAAAGATGAATTGTTAGGAATTTAACGCTTGGCCACAAATTGATGGGAGGTGGGGGTTTGAAAGGTTTCAGATTTTAAATTACGTCGAAAGGAGCGCTTTTTTAATATTTTGCGTTTTATTACTTTTTAATTAATATTTTGCGTTAAACAAATAAAGATTTTCTACTCCAAAAATGCAAATATAAAACAAATTCAATGCAATAATTTTGCATATCTGAAAAGTTTTAAAGAAAAATTATCTTGAATATAATATAATCTACGTATATGAGTTTAAAACGATATTAAGTGCTCTTCTAGTAAGATAATTAATTAATTAATTTAAATATCAAACCTTCAGCAAAAATGTGGTAAATACATTTTTTACTTAAATTTTGAAAAATAAGTGATAAATTATCTTGATTTATTTTTAAATGCTAGGCTACTTTCATAAGTCTGGTATTGCTTTTGAAAGTAAACTTTAAAGAAATGAAATATTTTATATCCGCCCAAATGTGGTGTTTATGAAGGTTTCTATTTAAATTCCTTTAATTTTATTGTAGTCAATTTTTCAGTCTCAGAATTTTAAAACGGATGTTTTATTTGTTTTAGTACGCTTACCTTTAATAAATACAACTTTTGAAAAGCATTGTCTTCAAAGATCAAACAGACCTTTATCATTACTGTTTATTAGTCGATAATTCTTCTCTCTTTCTTTTTACTTTAAAGTTTCTAATTTTACGAATCCTCAGATAATCTTGAAATGGACTTTGCGCAGAATCATTTTCTTTTTTATCCAATTAAATGACCCAAACAAGCAGCAGAATGTCTCCATTAAGAATCAAGAGATTTATTTTGCCACTGGGGAAATTAGATGAGATGGACTTTTATAGGGGTGGCTGCAAGACTTAATATCCGGAGACATAAACCGATGATCACATTCATTTCTTCCTCTAGTCAACGCTGTGCATCGAATTCGGATGCTGTTTATCGATGCTATTATAATTAGCTTTTGAAACTCAAATGAAGTTTTGGGAATTATATTTCCTGTATTATACACTTGTATTATGAAACGTGCACTACATAAGCAACTGGGATCAGAGGAGGGAAAAGATTGATGTATATATACGACCGAAAAGAAGTGTTTGTCCCAGTAAGAACTAATCAACTTCGAGTGTAGACTGAAGCTCGGAACTTGAAGGTAAGTTTTGATGCAAGACTTATTCATAAACCGTTCCATTTCAAATTCATATTTCTGTTACCTAAGTTACGTATTATTAAATTTCAAACAAGGTTCTAAAAAGTGTCATTGTTCGAGCTCTCTTAATTAAAAAAATGTATCGCAATTATTTTAACTCCCAAAGGGAAGTTAGTCCAGAAGGGCCATTAGTCTGGAAACAGCATTTTGCGTCTAATAACAATAAACGGCTGTACCACATTTTAAATTGTTGTCACAAAATCTTATTCGCCCTGCATTATATTTTAAGAAACTAAATAATGAAGAATCTGCGTGAATTTGTGTATGTTTCTCGCATTGCCAAAAAACAGCGGTACCTAGACCCATCACAATGGTACCTGGAAGTCCGAATTTGGAAATTTCGAATTTGAGCATCGAGAGACTATCTATCGGAAATTCAAAAGATTTGCTGTTTTTAAATATTTTTAGCCCAAAGGAACATTCTTTCAAATGCTCTGGAAATGTGTATGTGTATGTGTATGCAAATGAAAAAAAATGCCCTTTTGGACGTAATATAAATATCTGAAAGCTTTCAGATATATTTCAGATATATATAAATATCTGAAAGATTTCAGATATTTTATATTTTTCTTCCTTTTAAAAAGAGTGTATGCTGTTTCATACAAATATGAAAGTAATACTTCATAAATGTGTAGTCTTTAGTTAGTATTTAGGTACTGAAACTGTTTCTAATACTTTTCAGGAGGTATACTCATAAGCTTTTCAAAAATACGATATGGATAAATTCATTTTATGTTTTTGCTTTATCGATTTTGTGGGTCAGAGTTCTAAAAATCAAAGCTTCAAATTCGACATAAGGCCAAAAGCTTTTCATCTGCAGAATTCTATGCTACGGCTACAGATTTCAAGCTATGCCACTCTGGTATATTGATTAGCAGTGGTATATATTGACTAGAAGTGTTACTTTTAAGAAATGTGCAAAACTGCTCTATGGAAATGGATAAGAGGAGTGGAATGGAAATGGAAAATTTCATTCACTGAAAATGCCTTGGTTCTTTCTTATGTATCACCACTCACTAGCAATAACCTTGGTGAAAAAGATCTGGAACGATGGGTGAATTAAGAGCACTTAACGAGGATGAAATGTAGAGTGAAACTAATCGTGTAAGCCAAAGGATCAGAAAGATCGGTTCGGTTAAACGCTAACTCCCTGAATTGACGTCTTTTATTTGTAGATTAAGATTCCCTAAAGTCTCCTTTTGTACACAGAACAAACAATACAATTATAGAGTAAAAAGTTTTTAAAAAATTTGGGAAATGATAAAATTAAACTCACTTTTAACATAGAAAGCTAGACATTCTTTTTTCCTCTGAAATGGGAAGCTGTCCCTCTTTCAAATTCTTTCTGCTCTTCTTTGTCAATCAGGCTAAATTCAGCACTTCAAACATCTCTTTAAAGTGAATCAGGTCTTGAACGAATAACATATCTCCGTTCCTCGCACGCTTTCAGCGAAAGCTGTTTCTGCACTGTGAAGAGCAACCACTCTTGTCTGCGATCGCCCAGTAAAGTGAATCGGTTCTTTGAATCAGTTCCGGAGCGGATCATCCAAATATACTTAATTTCCACATCGATAAGCTCAGATTTGAATATCGGAGAAGGCATGGCTGTTTGTAAATGTACAGCAGCTTTATGACATGTGGGCACTTAAAGTAATACCGAGGTTAAAATACCTTTGAAAGTTTAGTTGTAAGGTCAACCAGGAGTACTTCCTTACATGGCTGAGAAAATCTATGCATTCACCTCCTTCGAAGTATTTATATCAGTGCGAAGATTGCAGTGTCATTTATAAAGCACTCAAGCCAGGTATTAGACTCTTGGCTGCGATCAAATTCGCGGACTTGATTTGGAAGCTGATCACAAATCATGAAGCTTAAAAATAACATTTTAAACCCCTTATTCTAAGAATTTTGTAATCATTTCACCTAGACTGAAGAGAGTCACAACGGATTCAGAATTAAGAAGTCCATGTGTGTGTTAAATTTATCTCTCCGCTTAGATACTATCTTTAGGCAATAAATTACAGAAATCTTTTTAATCTGCTCCCAAGGAACATTTTTCAAATATTACCGGTGAAAGAAATTCACAACAAAATATTTTTAGTGATTCCTGGAATATTTTGAACTAATCATTGCTCTCTTAAATCATTAGGGGAATAAATCCAATTTTTTCAAAGTTGATTGAATGTTATGTACAAAGCCTATGCACTAAAGGATTAAAATTTTTATTTTCTTCATGACTTTTCTTTGCATTCGTTTAAATACGTGCTATGATAGATACTAATTGTGTTATATATGATTTCATTACTTTCAAAGCACATCATTTCATCAGAAACTTCTTTTTTAAAAACGAGAAAGATAATTTGATTTTCCAAAGTTTTAAACTTTTTAATTTATATTGCATTTAAAAAATTATTAGTTTTAAAGATTGAAGTGCTGAATTTCTGATTTCCCTTGCATTCGCTAAAGTGCATTGATTTCTGATATGAATTTTTTAGACAGAAACAAAAAAAAAATGAATTTCATTATCATCATAAATGACTCTAAATTTAGGAAACGTGACACTAATCGTCTGGGACTGAAATAATTCTAAAGCACCTACCTATATACCTACATACCATGAATGATGTTTATTTCATAACTGTAAAAAGAGAAAGGCTATATAACTTACAGTTTCAGTAACTGTTCTTGTACTGATATTTAAACGAGATTATTAATTATCATGTACATTATATAAAAGCAAAATAAATTAAATTTCTGCTGCAAAACTTTGCATGAGCAAACGAAAATATTTTTAATTATACCACAGTTAAGTTTTCAAAGATCTAAGAAATAGCAACTGGCTTTAAAATTTGGAATTTAAAGTATATTCTACAACAAAAATGTTTCAGTTAATTCTAAAGAGTATTTTTATTGCCTTAAATTAGATTTTCTAATTGCTTTAAATTTTTTATTTTATTACAAAACAGACTATAGAGACATCTGGTTATTTCGAAGCAGGAGACATGAAAAATGAGCAATGCCCTCGACGGAACTCGAATCACTGACCCCTCGAATACGCGTCGAGCATGCTGACCACTACACTACGAAATCATGCTAAGAAGGCAGGAGAAATACTTTATAATACATTAAAATATTACCAAAAATAATCAACTGATTGCGCTTTAAAAATGTCGTACAGATTCTACAATATTAAGCAAATAAAAATTAAGTATAACATTCTAATTAGCATCATTATTTCGTAACAATAAAATTAAGGTTCGTAATAATACAAACATAATTTTATTCTTAGACAATTATAATGTTGGCATATAATTACGTAAAAGCATGTACTTAAGATATGAATTACTATCCAAACATCCTTTGCTTTTGCTAATATGTAAATGATATCTAGTTTTAACTTGAATTACATTATTTACTTATGTACATATTATAAGATATTTTCTCTACTTTTTCTGCATGCCTTTGTGGCGTAACTGAAAGCACATTCGACGCGCATTCGGAGTTTGAATACCGGAGAGGGGAAATACGGATTTCTTCGGTTTCCTGCATTGAAAAATTCTAAAAGACTCTACATTATCAAGTACTTCAGAAGCCTACGCGTTTCAACAAATGAAGAGGCCTAGAGGACACTGGAAAATCATTATTGTTCTAACATAAATAGAAGAAGTTTACCAAAGCTACTGTGTAAATTCTTGGCAAAGTAAAAAAAAGAATGTTCGAATATGAGAGGCAAGGTGCGTTTTATCCAAGTTTCTATTTCCGTCCAATCCTCGATATGAAGATGAAATTCTGAGGAAAGCTGCCTACCCTACAACTTGGTAGTAAAATGATGTTACTGAAAAATATAAAACTGCCGAAAATACTGCGTTTCAACCAAGGAAGTCCTTAAAAATATTACTTCCAAGAAAATACTTTTTCTGATTCACTTTCGACGGTTTTTTTTTCAAATGTAATGAATTCAACGAATTTTTTTCGCGACTTCTCTCTTTCTCCATTTTAAGTTATTAAAACACTTGTCACCATAATAGACGAATTAAAAAAAACCCCATAAGTCCATCAATTAAATTTTGTATTTCTTAGGAACTTTTATACATACAGAATTCACTTCAGAATTTCGTTGAGTTTCACACAGCTCTATCTAGTTTTCTTCTAGATTGTATTTAATTTTTAGTTTTTCAACTAAATATTGCTTAAATTGAAGAATTTTTAAGAACTTTTCTTAAATTTTAGCAATGCTTTAGCTCACACAGTGCAAAAAAACAGCTTCGCTTGCTCAGAGTATGTGAGCCAGTTTCAATTTGAAAGTTCTCTACAAAAATATCCTTCCTCTTAGACAGGTAACCTTTGTGTATTTTGCTACATTTAAATAACCTAACCTGACACAGTGTAATAACCGCAAGAAGTAAAAGCTCTTAACAGTGTTGACAAAATGCTCGTATCCATCGGTCGACAGCGAAATAGTTATCAAGATTGATTTTTCAGCAAAGAGCTTAAAAAAAAGAAAATTACTACTGCTGGCCCACAGTAGTGCATAATTTCTTCTGTACCATTTATAATTGAAACCTGGAGCTATATTAAGTTGTGATGTTGCGTGGCCCCAACTTGCCCGCAACAGTAGTAGTGACTGCTATGAACTGGAAATTACACAAACTCTTAAGAAGGGTTTGACTCCCTTTTTATTCCACTTTAGAAGTTACAGATGCGTTCACTTGACGCTCACAAACTACGCCGACCAGGCGTTAAATAAATCAGAAAGTACAACTAAAAAGAATAACAGGCTGAATAAAAAAAGAGGTCACTACCTACGAGCTCTATAAACGGACACTACCGCGTTCTAAGATACAGCGAGATTTCAGCAAACTTTTGAATAAGAAGTTGAAAGATTCAACGAACTGCCGAAATAGGCACCAGGCCGAAACGCGCGGTTCTTAAATTTCTACTAGCAACCTCACGCTCGTGAATCAAGAGCACACTTAAACTCGTTTCCCTTATTTTAACTCAAAAGACTTCTGCTAAAATTTGATACACTGCGCGTTCTACTAAATTTACAAACTGGCTGGAATTCCAGGTTAAAGTAAAGGCTTGACAGGAAAGATAGCTTAAACTTAAAATAAATGTTAGTTAAAATAAATATAAACCCTACAAAGTAACCATTCAATGGATTAAAAAATTTGTTCATATATGGAATGAGACTTCTAGGACTGTTTGGTACATTGATATACTTATTTCGTGTATTAATATAAAACTATTAATGCTATGTATTTTTTTAGAGCACTGCATAAAGCAAATTTTACTGCCAGTTATGAAGTTGAATTTAAAAAAAAAACTCAGAATTGGGTAAAAACACTATTTTTACTTAATTCTTTACTTGTATCGAATAGGATGAAAAACAACCATCTCATTAAATTGCGCAAGAATCTGTATTCTTTCATTTATTGTAGCCTCCAATTTCCAGAAACTTATGGAAAGGCCTAAAAAAATATCAAGAAATTTTAGAAATCGTTTCCAACCCAAATGAACGAAATGGAGCAAACTCAACCCAAAATGCTTCCTTTCCGTATAGTAAGCTGCATAATATGAGCTTGCTACTGCCTAAGACGTAGTTGAACATCAAGAATACTGCTAAAGAGATACTTGCAGTTCAATAATAATTTTGTTTCTTAAATCACATAGAATAGCTTGAAGAATGCCACCCTTTTAAATTATATTAGAATGCATTCTTTCCCTAAAAATAATCTATCATATTCAAAAATCAGCTAAAAATTTACTCAGGGCTGTAGCAGTTTTAAAAAAAACTAAATGTAGATGCACTTGTAATAAACTCAATTTCTGACCAATGTCTCTTCATGTTTCATCTTCATACAATGAACTGCATAATATGAGTTTTCTACTTCAGATATAAGGTTACTTGATGAAATATCAGTAGAACAGTAAAAGGATACTTCAATTTAATAATCATTTTATTTTATTTTGCTTATTAATTCACTTTGAACAGCTTGAAAAACAGCCACCTCGTTGAATTACACAAAATATCTACATTCTTTTACTTGTTGTAATCCTGCCAATTCCCATAAATGATCTCAACATTTACGTGGAGTTCTACAGAACTTAAATTTCAGTTTGTTTTAATTGATGTACTTATTTGTTTTTGTTTGTGTGTTAGAAACGCGTAAGAAGCAGGCAGTCCAAAAATACTTTTGGAACATGTAAATATGTGCCATTGTAATCATCATTCTTTTTTTTTTTTCCAATTCTTAGAAAATGAGGATTTCTTACATCACTTTTTTCCTCTGCTTCGCGTCTTCTCTGGCTGCAACAGTCGACCACATAAAAAGAAGCTTCTCCGATCTTGGCTGTATGGGTGTCTATGACCGGGCAAAGTTTGCTAGGCTGGACAGAGTTTGCGAAGAATGCTACCAACTCTTCAGAGAATCTGACGTCCACACATCATGCAGGTCAGTATAGAATACTAAACCATTAGAATTCTATTTATTTCTGTATATTGTATGACAACAACGAGGTCGCAGCTTTAGCCATTTCCGAGATAGCGGAATAGATGAGGAGAGATTCTGAAAATTTTTAGTCAAAGAACCTGCGCATCGGTGGTTTTGAGATTCAGGAAAAGGGGCGAAAGGGGGGGGAGGTTAGAAAAAATATACAATCTATATAATAAATTAAAAGAATATACCAACCAATAAATATAAATTGATTAATAAATATAATAATATCCCAATCTCAGAAATTGCACATCATCCATCGAGTGACTTCCATCGAGTCTCAGCACACACTCAATGGCGCTCTCAGCGCCCTCTAGCGTTAAGCGGGTCTTACATGATACATTTCAAATTTTTTTTTAATTCCTCGTTTTTAAAGTTTTTTTCTTGACAACTGTTAAAATTTATTTTCAGAATTCTGAAACGCTTGCTTCTTACGTTAATGATTGGTAAGAACCCAACATACTCTGACCCATAAATGAATAAGTCTTTAATGGTTTTTAAATTCTCGTTTTTAATGATAAGTATGGACAACACTATTAAAAGATATTTCACGATGTTTTTAAAATATTGCTTAAGCAGCCATTAGAAGACAGGGCTGGTAATAGATGTTGTTAAAGCATTTTTCGAGATTTTTTGATGTGATCTCTAATACACTGACTATCAATAAATATTTGGTTACCTGTGATAGAAAAGAAAAACTAATAGGTTCTCGATAGGGTTCAGGTCTGGACTCTGGGCAGGCCAGTCCATTCGATGAACTCCATTGGCTCCATACCAAGCCTTGGTTAACGTCGAAACATAACAACTGGCATTGTCGTCCTGAAAGTAACAGGGGTCCAACTTGACTGTTGGCACAATGCATTCTGGCAGAAAACGTTCTCCAGGTAAACGCCAGACCCAGACCCTGCCAGCCGAACGGAAAGGGTGAACCTTGATTCGTCACTCCCAACCCGTTTCACTGAGCTACGGTCCAATTTCGATGTGCTTTGCCACCACATTAACCGAGCAGCGCGGGTTGGACTTTGTGAGAAAGGCTTATGGCAGCAGCACGACCATGAAACCCAAGCAGATGTGCTTCCTTACGGATGGTTTCATTGAAAACAATACTTCCGGATGACCTGTTTGCTCCTCGCGATGAGGGCCACGGTTGGGTGCGGTTCGGCCGAATTTCTTTGGACAGCACCGCGGTTCTATATCCCAGTTCGCTGTCTGCCGACTTGGGGCACATTCCGACATCATCCTCACCGTCCACTTCTTAATCACATAGCTACTGTCGTTTTGGGTAATAATCGCTAGATATGTCCCTAAGGATCGGCCACATTGTGATACCCGATAATTATCCTTTCTCGAAATCAGAGAGCTCCGAACTGCGAGGCATCTTGCATGCGACTAAAGCCGATGCTGTTTCCTACACGATATATACTGACGGAGTCCGTGACATACCTTAGGACCGTAGATATCGCCACTTGCATAGGTGTCCAAATACTTATTGGTAGTCATTGTATGTTACATTGGCCACGCAACAGAAAGATGGAAATGTTGCGTAAAGGTCCAATGCACCGAGCAAGAGAAAAAAAGTGATGGGAAGTTTCTTGTAAGCGAAGGTTTGAAACCTATACAAATTTATTCGATTGATGGATATTTAATGGGAATATTGGTGTCATTCATAAGTGCAACGAAAGATAATAAAAATAGAGATCTGCATTTATAATATAGAGGATTTTACTCTCCCAGCTATAGCTTTCTCGAAGACAATATTGCAGCCGTTGATAATAAAGAAAAACGGGCTTGCCACATTGAGTTTGGAGGTATTATTATCAGGCATTAATATTAGATTCACCGATCATGCCATTCCGAACTTCTGCAACGTATATGTAATATGGGCAGACAATAACGTGATCTTGAAATGAAAAGGAATCCTCGATGCTTAGTAAAGCTTCTCTCTTGGTTTGACGCTGGTGGCGAAGCATTTCTGTAACATATCTTCGCTGGAGATGGTATCTGGTTTTTTAGTCGAACGAAATTTTGGGATTACGATGAGGTTCAATAGACAGTGCATAAGTGCCTGCTTACCTAGCAGAGCGAATCATAGTCTCTCGGTGGTTTCTCGTGGTGTCGACATTCTTGTCAACCATTGGCCTAAGTACATTGAACAAGCCGTCCAAGGACTAAACCCATGTATAAAGTTAAAAAATATTTATCCTGACACCTTTAAGTACAGACATGCTTATCGAAATTTATCCAGGCAATTAGGATATTAATAAATTGCAAGAAAAGGGGTCTAGATGCAAAGTGGAATGGCCATTTTGGAATTATTATGAAGAAAATACCGTTTACTCATTGAATTTTGGGGAAGTTTATGTTTTTGGAGCTGTGAATGCAAGCATTCATATTTGAACTTCGATGACTTAATCTTTATCGAAGTTGATCAGAGAGAACATAAATTTTCGTCCAATTAAAAAAGTCCCCCCCCCGCTCCCGTCTTAGACGGCGAGTTGCACAGCAGAGAGAATGCTTCGTTGGCACTTCTTCCACTACTTGCGTTTGATCACGTATCGAGGTTTTCATCAAGCTTGTGATTTTTTAAGGAAGAATGAAGTAGTAATTTGCTTCAAGATGACGGCGAGCATCTTGAAGCTCCTTTCGCAGTAAAGAACACTTTTTACGTGAGATCTAATCTGTTCTGCAACCAACACGTGATATTACGTTTTGCCATTTTTTCTTTCACCATGCGCCAATACCTGAAATCTAGTTATTTCTTAAGCTAAAGAACACCGTGTTAAAAATAATCAGCGAGATTTCGATAAAATGATCTCTTCATTGATATTCCCTTATTCAAGATAGTATGACGATAATAGTATTTATGCGGATTACTCAAGATAGTGATATGGCTTCCCAATCTTTAGTGCATCACATCCGTATTGCAGAACTATTTTCTAGCAACTAGTTAAAAAGGATTATTCTCGTCATTCTTCAGTTTTCGGTTTTTGCATAAACACAACATATACTTCTGTCTAAAAATACTATACTTCTTTCTAAAAAAAGTTGTTCATTAGGCACATACTGTTTGACACCTTCCTTCTAACATTTGCAATGATAATACCTTTCCTATAGCAAGAACCAGATGCCTGGTCGCTTGAAGATCTAGTTAAGGACTCTGCTGAACCATGATATAGTCCTTTTTTCAGAGTTTGAAATAAATACTTCGTAAAATTAAAAAATAAAAGTCTATTACTTCCTTGTACGAAGTAAAAAGGAAGTATTGTAATCGCGAAAAGTTTCAGGCAGCATATTTCAACGAAAATATCCAATTTGACCGCTATCGAATGCAACTTAACGATGTTTTTGCTTGATATCTGTACGTAAGGACAGAATAAAAGACTCTTTTCCTCCAAAAAAATTAAAAACTGTTTTAAAATTAATTCTGAAGAGAAGTTTTCGTGGCGTCTGTACGAACGTATGTACGTACGTATCTCGCCTAACTCCAAAACGAGTAGCCTCAGAACGTTGCATTTTTGTATATAGGACTGCTATAACATGTAGATGTGCATCTCGTATTTTGGTTGCAAACGGCTGCACCTAACGTATATAAATATATTTATATATATATCCACTTTGTTACCCGGCTCACCGATCCAGTTTCTTTACTCTTATATGTTTGCAATTGTACATTTTTTGCTTTAAAAATGATTGCATTATGTTGTTCTTATCTTCCGCTTAATGTTTTTACGCATTTAGTAAATCTGTATATAATATTTTTAGAATTATCAACAATTTTAAAGTTGTTTAAGTGCCGGTAAGCCTTTTTTAGTTGGCGGCCATAGATTGTTTACATTTGAAACAGCAGAGTTGTGGATTTGTTGCCAATCTAGAGAAACATAGCTTCGCAACAACAAAGATAACGCTTTCATTTATTATTGCCAATTAAATCATGCTTAATCCTTTCTGGAATTTTTTCGAGGAAATAAGTGTTTAAGATTTACTTCGTAATTTTTAATATAGATATTTTGAGTTTTTATGTATTTTTGCCTTCTCGCGAAGTGAAAACTGAATTAATTGAATGAGAAATACTCAATCGTCTGTGAAAAACTGTTTCTTTTTTGTTTTGTTTGCTTAATTTCTTTTATACATTGTTCTAGCTTTATTATAGTATTTGAATAGAACATGTGGCAACGATTAGATCATTCTCTAAATGATATAAATTTTGTGCATTCTGAGTTATAATATGAACGAAATATAATACTGTTAAGTGAACCTAGCGCCGGAGTGTCGCTATGGTAAACAAAGAGAATTTTAAAGAATGCCTTTATTCTATTGTGGTTTATGCGCTGTCGGCGAAGTAGGTTTAATTCAATCAAGTTTAAACGAAATGCAAGAAAAAATGCATATAATTTAGTATTCCGTACAAGGAAGTCATGTAGTGTACACATCAGATTTTATTTTCTAATGAACGAAGTAATAATTGTATAATATATTAATTTAGGAACATCATAATGCGCCCTTTTAATGTTTCACTTTAAAAAAATTTTTAATTTGGCAGATTTGGGCTTGGCTCTTTGTATCTAAATGAGAAAGGAACACAGAGCTTTTGGCTTTAGAAGCATTCATGAAGAATAAGTTTATATTTAACAACAGAAACTTTTTTTTCGCCTTTGAAATTGTCTGATTATTGCATTGATATTTTAAAATGAATTCTATTCTTTACGTCTTTATGTCATTCTCAATGTTTATCTTCTTCAATCTAGCTATATCCTCTGGGATAATTCTACGGATTAAGAGCGGGAATGATAAGGTTTCTTGTTATATAAAACGTTTTAAAAAGTTATACATATTTTATTGTAATCAATTGCAGATCTCTGTTTGCTACAAGAAAATTATGTCTGCGAAAAATTCCGGTGATGTTAGATAAGCAGTGACGTATTGTGCTATCTCTATTATGCAAATTATCATTTTAAATATTATCATTTAAATTGCTTTTATCTCTTTGTAGATCCAATTGCTTCAAGAATAATTTCTTCACTCAGTGCGTGGACGCTCTTTTACTCCGAAAAGATCAACAACGCTTGGATAATATGGTGGAACAACTTTATGGGCGATGACTTCTGGGAGTGAATTGTAGTAATAATCTATAGCTTGGAAAGCTATCTGTGTTATCTAGTTGCTTCAGCACTCGAATTTATAAAAAGATAGAATAAAAATTGTTGCAATGCATTTATTTTTTGAAATATTATTACACACTCTTTTTATCACATTTTATACTTTTTGCATCGATTGTCTTATTTGTAATACATTTAAAATTTCTCAAATATTAATCAAAATAGCATCTCAAATAACTATTACTTACAAAGAGGGGCAGAAGAAACTTGCGCATGTGTCTTTCTAAAATTAAAAAATCTAATGTGTACACCACATGACTTTCTTGTACGGAATATTAAATTATACGCATTTTTTTATTTCATTTAAATCGATTGGATTGAATTTAATCTACTTCGTCGACAGCGCATAAACCACGATAGAATAAATGCACTCATTAAAATTCACTATATTTGTTTACTATAACGACACTCTGAATGCACAAAATTTATATCATTTGAAGAATTATCGTTGCCAAATGTTCTATTCAAATACTATAATAAAGCTAAAACGATGTATGAAAGAAATTAAACAAAAAAAAAAAAAAAAAAAGAAAAGAAAAGGAACAGTTTTTCACAGACGATTTAGTATTTCTTATTCAATTAATTCAATTCTCACTTCGCGACAAGGCAAAAATACATAAAAACTCAAAATATCTGCATTAAAAATTACGAAGTAAATCTTAAACACTTATTTCCTCGAAAAAATTCCAGAAAGGATTAAGCATGATTTAATTCGCAATAATAAATGAAGACGTTATTTTTGTGTTGCGAAGCTTTGTCTCCCTAGATTGGCAACAAATCTACAATTCTGCTGTTTCAAATGTAAATAAATATGTCCGCCGTGTTATTTAAAACTTAACCGCACTTAAACAGCTTTTAACTTGTTGATAATTGTACAAATATTGCTTCCAGAATTACGAAAGGCATAAAACTTTAACCGGAAGATAAAAACAACATAATTCAATAATTTGTAAAACAAAAAATATACAATTTACAAAAATATAAGAGTAAAGGAACTGAGATCACAAAGTGGATATATATATAATATATTTATTGTTTCAAAAGAATAAATTGAGTTTAATTAAAAAAATTAATTTAAATACATATTTAATAAATATTATTTGCGCCATTGCTGCAAGGAATGAAATTTAAATTTAAACAAATTTCAATTTAAACAAATACGTATAAAAGTAAAAAGTAGAAAGCAAATTTAAATTCTAAAAAAAGGAAAAAAGCCAAAATAATTTAAATAATTAAAAATATGCAAACATGTAAAGATTTAATTCTCGAACTAATCTCTACAATCATTTAAATTCAGAAGCATAGCAAATCAGTGTAAAATCTATCCATGAAGATAAATCTACTAATTTAATAAATTAAAATTAAATTAAACATTTTTTTAAAAAAATGCATATGTGAATGATCGTAGAGTAGGCAGGAGACAGACTTATCAAGGGGAAGTTGCCTCCAAACCTAACTCTCCAATCATTCAATTCGTATTTCGTCATTCATGCAGGCAAGGGTAAAAGTCTAAACCAAAAGTAATTCCAATAAAGTGGTACCCTTAGAAATTAACATTTAAAAATTAAAGTTCAAAAAGGAAAATACTAATTAAGTCTTTTGAGAAACAAGCAAGTAAAGTCAAGAATTAAACTTTTTCTTAAAAAATTAAATTTTTTAAAAATTAATTTTTTATGAAATAATAAAAAAAATTTAGAAACCAATGTATTTTAGAAATCCTTGTCTACAGAAACTTCCCCTACACGAATATGCATATCAATAAAAAGAAACTATAAAAGAACTATACATAATTCATATAAACCAATAAGAAACAAAAAGTAACAAAAGAACTAATTCACAATTTTTAAAATAAATATATATTTAAAAATATAATTTCATATTTAGAAAATACTTAGATACTACATAAAAATTTTTTTTTAAGTATAAATATATTTATATACGTTTGGTGCGGCTGATTTCAACCAAAATACGAGGTGCACATCTACATGTTAGAGCAGTCCTATATACAAAATTTCAACGTTCTGAGGCTACTCGTTTTTAAGTTATACGAGATACGTTCGTACAGACGCCACGAAAAATTCTCCAGAATTAATTTTAAAGCAGTTTTATAATTTTTTTTTTTTGAGGAAACGAGTCTTTTATTCTGTCCTTACGTACAGATATCACGCAAAAACATCGTTAAATTGCATTCGATAGCGGTCAAAATGGATATTTTCGTTGAAATATGTTGCCTGAAACCTTTCGCGATTACAATACTTCCTTTTTACTTCGTACAAGGCAGTAAAAATATGTGTTAGAAAATGTCAAACTTGCAATAGTCCCGTAAGTCTACTATTTATTTGATTTTTTTCCCTTTCTACCCTGAAAAAACATTAACTGGTTACTATAAATCTCTGGAAGCTGCGTCATTCTCAAGATTAATTCTCTTCATATGATTCTTATGTAACGATAATGAAGTAGCTGCTTCCATAACACTTCATCTAATATAATAATATTAGAATTTTCGAAGGGAAACTTAAACAGTCAAATTGAATTTGAACTAAGCATAGTCTGCGCATTTCGTTTTTACTTCTCTCTGCTGGCTTGGTGTTCAGTTTTTTTCAGTCTATAAGGGCTATTAGTCTCAAAACGACATTATGGGCTTTTCACTATAAACGCCGAATCATTTTTTAAATTTTTGCCACCAAATGTTATCGCCGTGTATTATATTTAAAGACATTAAATAATAATAATGAAGAATCTGCGTGAATGTATGCATGCTTCTCGCATTGTGAAAGAACGACAGTACCTACAGCCATTAAATTTTGAATAGCGTAATTCTCCGTAATAATATGGGCACTTGGAAGCCCGAATTTGAATTTTGAATTTATTTTATTATCTGTTTCAGATGTTGTAAAACATTAACGAATTTTCGATTAAGAAATTCAACGATTTCAAAGCAAGCAATGGCAACACAGCTTCATCTCCAACGCGCAAGACTGTCTATCGCAAATCTAAAGATATGCTGTTTTTATACGTTTTGCGATATTGCTGTTGAATTGAATTTTATGTGATTTAAGTGCCAAGAACATGATATGTAATAAATAAAGGTAATACACAAAACGTTAAAAAAGTCCCTTAGGGTCTGATGCAAAATCTAAAAGCTTTCGGATTTTATATTTACTTGGTTAATTTCTTATTTTAAAAATGCGAAAATTTTCTGAACAATGGGCACACCTTTTGCACCGATATATCTGTATTTAAATCAAAAACTTCTTTCAGCAACAATGTAAAAAAGTAGTCATAGTGCTGATACATTTTTATATATTTCTATTTATATCTTCATCTATATATTATGATGCATCTCAATAAAAATATGTAAATCAATATTCTAACTTAAATTTGCAATAGTCCCTTAACATTTCATTTTAATTTGATTGTTTAAGCTCTCTGTCTTAAGAATAGGAACTGCTTAAAATAAATCTATCTAAACTCCATCAGTTCAAATTTAATTACTGGCATATGATTCTTAAATAACGTTTTTATTGCACGCATTTGCATAACGCTTGAGTCAATATTAATTTTAAATCTGGAAACCTAAGTTAAAAAACCTGGAAGTTAAAATTAATCATTAGGAATGACGCTTAAATAAAATTAAGTTACTCTGAACCAAATTTTTATCTCGGACACGCCGGATTTCTGCTTTCGTAAGCTGTCCTGCAAACATGTCCTCCCTTACCTTTCTTTCTGCAATTGTAATCGTCATAACTGTAGAAAAATGCACAACCTGATCAAGAAACAGCGGAAAGATTGCGCCCATTAAACAGAACACGTCTGTATCATTATGGATGATCTGAATGAATTATTTCATCCAGCAATAAATGTGGTGAATCGGATATCATTGCTGCATCTACATGTCAATTCCATCTAGACATGAATAGATTATTCCACTTATAGATCTGAAATTATTATATAAGTTTATAAGGTATTTCTCCCAACTTCCTGGCGTGCCTTCTTGGTGTAGTGGTCAACACACTGAGCTGGTATTCCAGAGGTCCGCGTTTCGATTCCCGGCGAAAGCGTTGTTAATTTTTCATATCTCCGGCTTTCCAATTCCTAATGTCTCTACAGTAGCGCCCGAAATAAAAGGTTGTTGGATGATGATCCTCCTCACTCAGGATTTGGCGATTGGATCCCCTAAAAAAACCCCATTCGCCCTTTGAAAGGGGAAATATATAAGGTATTTCTCCCGTCTTCCTAGCGTGCCTTCGTGGTGTAGTGGTCAGCACACTGAGCCGGTATTTCAGAGGTCTGTGGTTCGATTCCCGGCGAAGGCGGTTGCTAATTTTTCATGACTTCTGCTCCAAAAAAGAAAAAAAAAAAAAAAAAAAAAAGAAAAAGAAAAAAAAAAAAAAAAGAAAAAGAAAAATACAATGCCTCTACAAGGTGGGCCACTTAAGATGATAACGCCATATATCTAGGGGAAAAAAGTTTTAGAAAGAGAAATTAATAAATAAAAATGAAGTATTCGCACTTTATTTTAGTACCATATTATGCCAACCTTAATCTCATGCGTGAAAATATATCGATTTAATTTCAGTTTAATAATAATTTATAAAAACTATGCTGTACATTTTCTGAAAATTAACATAAATCTTTACATACAGAAATTTTCAACTCTGGAAACTCGTTCCTCCTCAAACAATTTTTTCATTTACATGATATTGAAAAAAAACCGGAAGGTAAGAAATTGTCGGAATACTTATGTCCATTACCTTATATTTGCGTGAATTAAAGTCTGTAAAGCAATGATTAATAATCAGTTAAATTAATGGAATAGTATGTATCACAAACTCAAACTATCACACATATACATCACAAACTATCACACATATATGTTTGTTTTGTCTCACAGATATATGTGATATATATTGTGTCTTACACATAGCTATCACGCATACATATTAAACATATATATCACAGCTCAAGCCAAAACAGATCCAAACGAAATGGCGCCGGCAACATAACCTCAACAAAATAGCCCCGAAGTAATAGTTAAGTCAAAATATAAAATTA